CTACAGTTATTATAATTACTTATGCAAACCATATTTTAATAATTGCTAATTACCATAATAACGTCCAAACATGTTTTGTAGTCAACAAAAATTTTACAAAACTCTTTTTGTTGCTATATAAATCCAATTAAAAAATAAATTAGTTGTTACGTACATTGTTAAGATCATGAAATTAAAATAAAAAACACTTAAAAATTATACAGTCGTATCGCAAATTATACTAACTATAATATATTCTTTTACTCTTTGTAAAATTTTATTAATTATTAATTAACTCGTGACTTTTGAAATGAGTTCTCTTTCTATCTTATAAAGTTTCTTATGATAAAGTTTATTAACACAAGACTTACAGCCAAGGATTCTTGTTTAACTTCAATGAGCTTAAAGATTTACTTAAAGACAAAAGATTCTTACAATTATAACGAAGTAAGTATCTCTAAAGCTGCAAAATATGTTAGTCAAAAGTCGAAGATACCGTATTGTTTTGGAAAAACTCTTTAACACTTATTGAATTATGAACTCTAAAAATACTTAAACATTAAACAATAAACGACAATGTCTGAGTCCATATCATATTTATAAAAGTTGTATTATACATCCAAAGTTTTTTTTATTAAATCTCTTTACTAAAATAGCAGTAAAACTGAGAAAAAATATAAAAACTGATATTTAAAAGAATTAATTCATTTTTACCTACTCCATAAAGTCTTAGAATTTTTTAATTTGAACATTAAATATTTTCATATAACTAAAATAAAATAAAATAGAAAATTATAATCTAAAAAAGACTAAGATTTTTCCAATTATACTTAAATTTATTTTATAAGTAAGATGATTGATATTCAAATAACACCCACTTATTTGGTGCATATTTTAATAAGTTATATTATAAATAAGGGCGTGGTGTGACGTGGTGGTCACATTAGTTGTTGACAAAACTCTAGTGTTAAGCCGCGCCTACTGCTGTAGGTGAACGGATGGGTGACCATGCGTGCGCTTCTACGGTGGCGAAAAAGCACCATGGGTCCCAGTGCGGAAGGCAAAAGTACAATTATAAATAAATACCATAAATTTATGATAAATTTAATGTAAAAATTAATATATTCTTCAATTGTGTTGAAGCATTATATAAATAAAATATTTGAATTAGTTTCGTTAATATTTTGCATTCTCTAAAACGGTTCAGACAATTTTATATTATTATATACCACATAAATTAGAACTTATATAGAACTATATAAAAATTAACTCAATTTAATTTATTTTATAATAATAATTTTAGTTTTTGGACTTTTCTTTTTAAAATTTTTTTTTTTTTTTGCTATTGATCACAACTTTTTTTATATTGTCAAAAGTATTTTTTTCCATTGAAATATTAAATTCAAAAATGACTGCAAAAAGATTGAAAAATATATTTGTAATTGTATTCATTGTCATAAATAGTCTCAAAGACAATCTTTACAAAATTCTCAAAAATCTATATTAACTTGATATTACATTTTAGTACCTTTATTTGACTTTTATTTAATATTTTCTATTTTGTAATAAGTTTTAATTTTAGTTTTAGTTCTTATCGAGCTGGACATAATGCCCATGCACTCAGACCTGTTGGTCTATTGTGCGCACCCCATACCGAAATGTCTTGATTCAGTTTACCCATCTAAGTGTTATTACATTATGCTTATCATTATATAATAGTGAACCATCAAGTTACCCCTATGGATGACCAAAGAGTCCTGTCTTTCCGGCGAAATTAAGTATCTCTCTGAGTCTTGGGTTTTTAATATCTTCTTTTTCAGGAAAAGGTTTACTCAAGTAGTTTGATTTTAGTGTGGACAAAGCTTCACATTCGCACATAATGTGAAATGAGTCTTCCTTTTCTACTCCACACTGCACATGGTGATTCCGATACCCCCATTGCGTAAAGATGTTTAAGCAAGTGACAATGTCCTGTCAGTAGATTAGTCAAAGTGCTTATTTGATGTCTAGTCATGCTATCAAGATCACCCAGCTGTAGACCGTGGTTCTTGATAAACATTTTGGATTGTCTAGGTACTACCAAGTACTTCCAAATTTTCCTGAGTTGTTCTCTGCTCCTTTCCTGACTAGAAAGTCAGCATTTTCATTTCCAGTGACACCTTTGTGTCCTGGTACTCACGCTAGTGTAACTTTGTTGAACCTCGATAGTGATTCTAAAGTTTTCCTGCACTCGAGGACAAGCTTTAAATTCACCTGGTCATTACAGAGTGCTTTCAAAGCTGCTTGACTATCACTTAAGATAGTTATCTTCCTATTCTTGTATACCAGCAGATTCTGTATTTTGTAATAAAGTATAAGTCAAATGAAAGCTAATTTCTTTCTTAATTATTTACACAATTTGGTAAAATATGAAAATTAAATAATTTAATTTTTATGGCTTCAAAATAAAATTTTGATTCCGCAATTCGAATCTTCTCAACGAGTAGAATATTTTAAATTCAATAGTTGAGAAAAACAGAAAAATGTATAATTTATTATTGTTTATCTGAAACGTTATCTAGTCTATTATATTTGCTTTTAAGGTAACCTATATGAATTATTTTAACTAGAACTCCAGTTTTTTCTTTGATTATTATACAAATTTTTGTTGTTAATGTAACTTCTATTATTAAAAATACCAAAATTTACTTAGTACTAAAATAACAATTTCTTCTATTTAATAAAAAATCAAAACATTGAAATGATTTTAGGGCTGTGTTCCAAAAGTTGATACGTTATTTTTCATACAAGTAAAAATTAATTTAAAATTTCAACAATTTCTAATGCAAATTGACATTTTTAATAAGTAAATAAACATTTTTGACAAAATTAACTTACATTTTTTCGACAAAACGATAAAAGATATCATTTTCTAGAAAAATTATAAAAATCACATTTCTGTGACTTATCAACTATTGCCTAGAAGCAACAGAATTTTTAATTTTTACATAATCGTTTTTATATAATCTTCTCAGCATAATGATTCTAAGGCATTACCAAGAGAGAGAGCTTGGTTTACTTTTTTATAACTTATGTAGTCTGGGGTCATCACATTTTACTTCAGACACATATGATTTTTTTCAATATTTATGAGCCAGGATGTGAGAATTTAACACTTTGGGAGTAAATGGAATAAATTATAGCACTAGCTTCGATATTTGACATAATGCAAATAAAACATGATGGTACAATAAATATTTTTACATCCTATCGCGAAAACAACTTAATTCCTATCATCGAGCAACTTTATAAATATTGTTGTTCAATAGTTGCTGGTGAATAGATTTTATTGAAGCATGAAATATAATGAAAATCAACTGTATAATATAATCCATCGATGAATATCCGTTTGTTTTGCGTACGTTAATGTAAACCAAATAACAAATTATCACTATACAAGGGAAAGGTTATTCTCCTACACGGTTTTATTTTATCACATAAAATCCATTTGCGTTCGACGGCATTGTGTTAACCCTAACTTATGCAAATGACGTTGTTTATTTGTGCCTGTACATGTGCATTTTGGTAGGTATACAAAAGTTTTTGTATAAATAAAAAGGTCTCCCGGGAGCTTCGGAGACATAAGTTCTTTCCGGTACAAACTCAATGTCGTTTATCTTTTTTCGTGTCTAGGATCGACTTTGGCAAATGGTTTATTATGTGCCGATGCAGCCGAGTCTATTCGATGACCCCGAAAAAAAACTTAATTTAAAAAACAATAGAGTCCTGCTAATCACCGTCTGTCAATGGCGTTAATAAATATTTATAGTTTCCAAGAAAACAAATGGAGTACTGTAATTTATCAGTTTTTTTTTCAATCCAATTTATGCACGCAAGACTTACATGCTTCTTTTGTATTTTGTTTTCTCAAGCACTAGATTACTAGCGTGTTTTATGTATTTTGTTTTAGTTTGGATATATGTAGGCCGTTATTGTGCTAAAATATAGGTCACGAGTCTTTGCCCTTTCTAGAGTAATTCTAAATATCAGCCATATAACAATGCATTATGTTAAACAATATAATAGTAAGCGACAAGAATATGAATCGCTAAATTTTTGTGCCCTACATAATTTCAACGAGTACTAATAAAAAACTCAATAAGGTCAACGAAACAATGTCACTTTTCATAACTTTTTAGTATGAATAAGTTTCCTAGTTTTCGTTATTTGAAGGCACTATGGAAAAGTTATACAATAACTAATTTACAACCATTTCAATTTATTTTAGCAGGAATACAATCTTTGCACTTTAAAAAATTTATTTGACTCGAAACGATTACATCTGAAAAGGCTTTTTCGATCTTCCAAAATAAAGTGTAAGCTCTAAGTTCATTGACATTGTAATCAATTGATTATTTGAAAAACATCGGAAAACTAAACATGTCTTCAATTTAAAATAAGACTAAAAACTACAACGCAAGTTAATTAATTAATATTTTTTAATTTAATAAACGTTTTTTATTAAAAAGTTTTTAAATTTTTTATTTTCTGATATATTTGCAGTAATATTGTGAACATGTAAAAAATTCTATTGATAAACTAATAAAAAAAATTAACTTAATGGATTGTTAATTACTTCTATTATGATAGAAAATAATAGTAATAAACATTTTAAACAGATAAACATTTTGTGACGCACAAAAAACTATAGTTTAATGTCGGTAATATTTTAAATAATTTATTTTTAAGCCTACAAACTAAGATTTATTATTTTTTTTTAATCACAAACAAGACAAACTTTCCAAACTCCCAAAAAAATTCGGTTGTAATATTCATGAACTTATTTGTTGAGCTTCAGAATGCACAAAAGTTTCTCTCGACGTCATAAACGTACACCGATAAGTAAAAAATTTTCTTAAGAAATATTTTATATCCCCCGAGCGTTACTCAAAAGAAAGCCATAATCTTTTCCGTCCAAACCCATTTTATTATTGTTTCGTAGCTTTCATGATTTAAAACGTGGCATTTCATATTTTTTACAGTTCGCAGAGAGCTGAGTAGGAACAAAAGGACCATGTGGATACTGACATCGATCGCCGTTGTGTTTGCATTGAGTTGGTTGCCGCTTACCGTGTTCACGCTTCTCGTGGAGTTCCAACCACACTTGATCAAGTCGCCCGATGTGCTCTACACGGTGTTTGCAATCGTCCACCTGCTGGCCATGTCGACCACTTGCACGAACCCTCTGCTGTACGGTTGGCTTAACACCAACTTCCGCAGAGACATCTCGGGCATATGCCGGCAAATGTGGTATTGTGGAGACCGCAAGCCTCCTCCGAGGCGCAAGCGGCATCCTTCCGTAGCCACCGACTACCGCGGTCCCAATGACAGGCGACCCGGGCCCGGGTCCGAAGTACCGTGTCGTCGACATCAGCACGACGCCGAGACTACCGGTCTGTCGATAGTGGTCAAAAGCGACCGTCGGTTCAGCACCAGTTACCTAACCACCTTGACAACTGTTACGTCCAGGTCGCAGCCGCCCACCAGCATGGGCCGCGTGGAAAACGTGTGAGCCCCACGTTAATCACAAGTTTATACATGTTTGATCTAGTCGGTTTGTATAAACAGACCATTGGTGTCTGCCGCGCTTACATATAGACTTATGTACAGTAATAAATATTTGTACCGAATTCGGTACGTGTGGTAAGGCTAAATTGGTTATTTTTCATCCAACTAATGTGAACTTTATTGTCGAAAGGACTACGGATTAATACTCACCTAGTAGAACTAACTCAGGCCCCTCGTTTTTCATTTCAAAGTAAATCTAGTTTGCGTTATGAAATTTTTACATAAATTAATAGATAACGATTTAAACACAAAACCGGAGCACATTTCCAATAATTAATTAACGTAACAATTTATTAATTGTGCTTTTGTTTCAAAAAAGACTATTAATAAGGAAAATTTGAATCATTAATTTTATTTTAGAACCGTTTGTTTTATTCTTCTTCAAAATAATACCTTTCAAGTTTTACATCATTTATACAAGAATAGTGATCATTTGAAATAGATAATTTTATTTCGATTTCATTAATTTTGGGGTTCTTCTAAACAAATCCCATAGAAAAGTCCCAATAAAATACAATTAAAGTGACCCTTAGAAATGAATCGACAAAATAAATGCGTATTTATTACATTATTTTTAGAAATATGTATATTTACACTGTTCAAGTTTTTGAAGTCTTGGAACTCAGTACGCAAGCATGCGTTTTTTACGCCTTTCTGACAAATAATTTTTTTTCTTTAATGTATTAAAAATTGTTAAAGTAAATCCTTTGAAAATACCATTTTAGAATAGTAAGGAGGTCGAATTTCTCGTTTCACGAGTATTATATATTTATTTATATTGTATTTGGAAATATCGAGATACAAAAGTTAAAGCCAACGTTACTTCATCTTAGACTCTCAGAAGGTTATCAATAATATCGGTTTTTAAAATGTAAGTAACCCATATTTATCCTTAGTCATTAAAAAAAAATATACATTTACCTATTGGTTTTTAAACAAGTAGTCAAAAAATCCGTTGTGTCATTACTTAATGCCATTATTTATTATATAGAGTGTTCAGTAAATAAGGAAACAGGTTAATTGTTACAAACAATGAAACCCGTTTTCTTATTTACTGAACAGACTATATTTTTACTGATAAATCACGATTTTCAAACTTTTTAAGATTTATTTATAAAAACATTTTTTGGGGGGTTCGTTGTTATTTTTCTAATAAATTAAAAAACAATTTTAATCAATAATTCAAAATTATGCCAACAGGTATTCAACCGAAACGTCAAGCACACTGTTATTTTATTAAACGAAATAAAATATATTCGTAAACAATATTACATTTTCCTTTTTGAACAACAACTTTATTTTTTACGATACACGCGATTAGAATAATTTATAGTCCTCTCGACAATATTATTGTTTGTATTTTGACTGAATAGCGATAAATACTTTGACTGTAGTTTTTGTTTAAAAATAATGTTGTCGAATCTGTAAATAATTTAGTTATTAAGTACTTACATTCAGCAATTCCATGTGTAATTTCTTAATTAATTAAATAGATGATAAATAATTATATCTCATTGTAATAGTTGACATAAAGTGTACATTACGTAGATATTATATAATTAAATACGGCTAAAGACGTCTAGAGATCAATACGTACTTAGACATTTTGTTGCGATTATACAATACCTGTTAATTTATAATTTGTACAGCTCTCAATCCAAGAGCAATAATATATTGGAATTAAGGGAAACGGACAATCTTGGGACCATATTACAATCATGTTTTTATCTCCATTTCAAGAGTGTTTTATTATTAAAACTAAATCAAAATGTCATTATTGATTTTTACCAAATTAAGTATGACTTTATATACTTATAAAATACCTTTTTTTACTTTATTATACTATACTTTATAATCCTATACAAGGTGTTCAGTAAGTAAGGAAACAGGTCAATTGTTACAAATAATAAGAGTAATAAAAAGCCCATTTTCTTACTTACTGAACATCTTATATAATGTTAAATGATGACAAGGTAATAATTTTTTCATTAGGCTTTCAATAAAACGAATTGCTTTTATTATTATTTATTTTAAGCTGACCTTTGGCTGTTTGTGACGGAAAATTATGAAATTTCTTTTTCAAATATTAATTCTATTCAACAATTTCTACTACTTAATTACTGTAGACATATTTTTTATATTTACGAATTTTAGGTTTTTAATATATTTCAAAGAATATTATTTATTTTCAATATATTTTTTTATTTATTATGTATTGAACTATGTGTCTTGAATCAATAATTTTGTTTTGTTTCAGAAGCTATAACTTTATTAAAAACTATTCTAAAAATACCTAAGCTAATAGATTATTAAAAAACAGTGTCATATTATATAAAATTATAAGATTAATAATTAATATATCTTATTGAATAATTTAATAATATTTAATTTTTGTAAAATAACGTTTTAAAGTCTTGGTTATTATAATTATATTTTTTATCGTTACATAATAATCATAAAAATTATTATAGTTATTCTTGAAAACTTACTGCAGTATTGTAGCATTTAAAATAGCTTATTAATTATTTGATTTTAGTTCTTAAACTATACGAAACTACATTATAATTTTAGAAATATGCCCTCAACCAAACTTTTAGACCTAAATTGATAAATTATAAACAATTACAGGGTGATCTATTTATCATAACTACTCAATTTCTCCCAAATTAAATATTCAATATTATAATAATATTAAATAATTAATATTATTGCAATATTAAAAAATATATTGTTTTTTTATAATGACATTTTTTGTGAGGATAATGAGTTGTGATAAATGGGTCATCTTATGTGTGCAATGAACAAAGTAAAAATTATAAAATTAATTCTGTAAAATACTAGGAAAGAGTTTAAATCTGTAGAAAATAATTGAGTATTAATATTGAGACCATTTTTGTTTAACTACTGAGTATTTATGATTGGTGAAAAACGAAAATGTTATTACATTTGTTATTTGTACAAATAATTCTGTTTTTTATTTTATTTTTTTATTGTAAATAAGTCAAGTTATTAATTTAGACGGCAATCTAAATGATTCGTTTATATTATTAACAGTGTCATGTTTACTAGGCGTGTTAAGCTTAAATTACATTTTATTTATAATCCATTCTATATTAGATTAAAAATATGAACAGAAATAAGAAAAGTACTGAAATAGAAAGTGAATAAGAAATTGTGCTTAAATGAATGTGATAAATGACCAAGTACATAATATAGTTGGTCTAATTTGTCCTACGTTGTGTTAATTTATTTTCCTGTCATTAATTTTCTCTTGTCTCAGTAAAAATCGTTTATATTCCAAACATTTCAGAATACTTTATAATTTATTCCAAGGTATATTTTAGTGGAAAATTTAATTTCTATTTGATAATCTACAAAAAAGTATAGTATCACAAAAGGTAACAACTAATCATATTATTAAAAATCTACACTATGCAAGACTGTTCAAAAACATAATTTGGTATTTCGAGTATCTAAGGAAATTAATTGAAAAAGTGGCTTCACTTTTCAGCTCGTCATTTATAAAAACAAAAATTCATAATTTAATTAAAATAAAGTAATTTTATGATACAATTTTAATATTCGTATCAATTTGAATTAAATAATAAATACAGTTATAATTTGAAATAAAAAAAAAGCTATACAAAAAATAACAAGTGTATCATGTATTATAAAAATCCATGTTAAATAACATCCTACGCTTATAACGCCTACAATAAATGAAATTCAAATATCTGACACGACTTCAACAGTAATCTTATCATTAGACTGAACATCAGCTGTCTAATTTAATATTATTATAAGCAATTGAGTTTATCTTCGTGTGCGTCAGTGTATTAATCCTAGCTTTAACTAAAAAGTAACATAACTTCAAAGCTCGTATCTGATTCGTATCGTATCGTAAAATAAAATTATGTTTACAATTTTTAATGGAATACTTATAGCTTATAAATTATTGATAAATTAACGTGAAGATCAAAAATATTACATTATGAACGTATAATATTTGTTTGAGATACTTCCGGTAAGAGTAGCATCAATCATAAAAAATATAACTCAATTATAACCTTAACGAAGTCTAACGAATTTCATATTACTTGTGGGTTCCTTGAACTCTGATCATAATTCAAATGAGCTTATTTTAGAACTTAACCTCAGCAAATATTAAAGACAGTTTATTATTTTACAGGCAAGTCATTTAAAGTAAATAAAACTAAATTTTATATTAGTTTTTGTAACGTTCAGTACATGGAATTATTTTATACAAAATATATTTTATGTTTTCATACGTACGAGAAAGGAAATATGAACAAAAATTTTTCCTCCAAAATAATCGAATATTTTTTATACTGAACAAAAGATTTACATAAATACAAAGTATACATAGTAAATGTCAGCGTGTATGCAATAAAATGTATTTACCGAACCACCACTTTTACTTAAAAGCTCAATTTTATTTTTTATTATAAAATAAAATACGAAAAGACAAAAAGATTAATGTGACTTTGAAAAAGTATTGAAAATGTAAGTTGATAATTTGACAGCTCTTTTCATACAAACTTTGCGTGTTACCCTTGAAATTTAAAGTTCCGTGTAAAAAAATAATTTAACTTATTTAGTTAAATAGCTAATTTTAACCAAAAAAATATTGTAATAAAACAAATTTTCTACATTTTTTTTCTATAAATCGAACATTTTTCTAAACATGATTACAATAGTTAATTAATTATGGGTACGTCAGAGTTTCTATACAATTAATTATGATTATTTATGGTTGGGGCAAAATATTAATAATTTCCAATGAGCTTTGGCTATTTAAGCTTACTTAAGGAGAGTTAAATGGCACTTTGAAACATCTGTGCATTACACTAAATTATATTATAATAATATCCTGTCAAGAACACAATAGTAATCATAATAAAGGTATCATAAGAACATAGAATATTCATAAGACAAACTGACATTATTATAAGGACCAGAAACAGCAATATCAAAATTCATAAATAATATTAAAAGTATTAAAAATAAATACTTACTAGTATACGTACATATAAGATTTTAAACTCGAATTTTAAGTATAAACATTTTTGTACTCATATATTAATTAAATAATAACAATTGAACCTGTAATATTAGATCCTAACAATATTTCCAATTATTATTTATTTTTTCTTAAAATAATGAAGTAATATATTATTATTAGAATAACCTGCTCTCAAGTATCATTTAGAAACAATTTTTGAATATCATTTAATAGCATTTAATACTCATTGAATAAATGACATTGTCTTCCACGCACATCTTTTTATTTTACTTTTTTTTTTTTTATTTATTTTTAAACAAATTTATAAATTCAAGGTACTATAGATACAGAAATATATAATTTTAAAACTTATTTATTAAAAGTAACAATGAATCACTGTGTCCTTTAAAAATAGAAGATTAACTTTTTTAAATATACTACTAATCCCAACCCACCCAAACCAGAAACACTTGTATTTAATTTATACTTTATGGTGTAATATAATATGAATTTCAATTTATCTTTTTGTATTGTGTTAATAAAGAAAGACGAGAGTAACTAGATAATGGTCTTATGAAGTAAAAAAATAAGATTTAAATTAAGCTATTTTGCAAACTAAGATGTCTGTATAACCTAAACAAAGGAAATTTTGTTTTCAGTAATTAACTGTGATAGATGTTTTTCAAAAAGAATATTCTGCGTTTTTTAGTTTAAATTATTCAATAAAGTCAGGATAAAAATAAAAACAACAATCTTTTTTGCTAAAATTTTTGAAGGGTGTATAAAACCACACTGGGCATTAACTTACCACATTAGACATTTGTGCTTATTTCGAGTTTCTCTTTAATTGGTTCTGACTTAGCGACCTATAGTAGCGGTTGTACAGCTGTCATTTCTCTTTATAAACACTCTACAAGCAACATTTGTTACAAATTGCGCAGTTTGCCTTCAATTACTCATATATCACTCTACAACATTTCACATATTTTGGTATAATTTATGATGGTAGTGATTCTAAATTTGTCAAAATACATTGGCAGTTCACAAGATATTGCACATCATTGTTCAAATTAAAACATAATATATCAAATAATTCTTCAACAACGTTTGTGATATCTTCGAAAGTTCTTGTATACAATTTTACCAACAGCTAAAAAATTAAAACACTACGATTACAATGATCAAAATTGAAAAAAAAAAAATGACACAAAAGGTGTTTTATAAATAAATTTACTTATTTAATTTTTATATGATTGGAGAAATATCTAATGAGAATTTAGTTGGTAACAGAGTTATAAACCGTTACATTAAAAAATATTATCAGTTTTAAATAATGTGACATATTCGAATTATATTTATAAAATATTAAACAAAGTATGAGTAAAACATTAAAAAACACGTAGAAAAAATATTTCTATTTTATACTTTATGTACTTTTAAATATTGATTGTTAAAAATTCACTTAAAAAATTACACTTAATCTAATAATCAAATTCTGAAAAAATTCTTACTAAATACATAATTATTATATAATAAAAAATATCCTTTTTTAATTTTAATACAAATATCTAATAAAAATATTTGGTTTTTTCTAATGCAAGCCGACGAATGAGTGTGGGTTGCAAGATAATTTCCTATTTTAATACAAAGTTTGAAAAATAAGCTTAATAAAAGTTTCATTATTATCCAAAACTCGTAAAGAATATTAATGGATTTTAAAAATAGGTTTCATCTATTTTATTTATTGTCCTGTATAATGTACTTTTAACAAGTGTTTCATATTAAGAAATTTTGTACAAAATTTTCTTTTAGCTAAAAATAAGATAATTGTGTTATTATATAAATATTAAGAGTCTAAAAATCTTATATATATAACATTTTTTATGGCTCGTTTTTTTATATAACATATTTCATATAAATCTTTCAGTGTTAAGATGAATCATTTACTTGATCAAACTTTGTACTTCATAAAATGGTTATCCATCTTCAGTTTTATTATTTACAATAAAGGTATTTTCAAAATAATTCTGACCTTTATATCTGCTATATGTTTTATATTACTAAATTATAGAAAATATTTGGATAATATTGTATTATCCAAATATTTTCCTATTCATTGTCTTTATTGTTTTTGGATATTATTTATTTTTAATTGAATCACTAAATAGGACCAATTCAATTTTCTTTTTATTAGGAGACAAAAACCATTCAATTTTTTTTTTTGCTTTTAAATTAATCATTTATAATTTTTATTGCCGCTAAATGGGTTAATTTAATTTATATTATATATTTTTATTTATAATAGCTGAACCCTAGTAATAATTTAAATGTGGACCTTTATCAAAATATTTTTTTTTATTTAGCTTCAAAGCGTAGTTGAGATTATGCACAATTACTCTGCTCCTACTAGACCGATTTTGCTCAACGATACGTGTCAAATATAACAAAATGATCAAACTATCAGCGTCATCATTTTTAAAAAAATATTACTATCAATCCTTTAACATAATAAAATATTTCAAAATAGTGCAGTTGTTAAAATACAATCTATGTTAATATTTTTTAATTTCACTTTATATTAAAATAATTAAAAAACTGAACGGATTATTCAGAACGTTTAATTGATAATACTTGAAACATATGCCTTGTCGGTAACATCAAATCAATAACTAAATTACTATGGCACTTTAAAATTTATATCAACATTTTTTTCTTCTAAATTTTGTATAATGTTTCAAAAGCTTCAGTTCTTTAAACCTTGTCAAGCTAACACTGAAACAGTAAACTTTAAGCTGGAAAAAGAAAAACTACCTGAAATTTCGATTGTCTAAGAATTTTCGGATATTAAAGCTAAAAATCATACAATTTTTGATAAAAATGGCTGATCTTGTTGTTTTTTGTATAACGGAATACTTGCATCATTCTAAATTATTTCAGATTAAAGGTTCTTCAATGTGATATATGTTTGAAAATAAAATGACATTCTCTAACTTAACTTTTATATGTAATCGGTTTCTAAAGTCGATCATGTAATCGTTTATGTATTTGATCATTTTTTTTAATGTGTTTCAAATATTTATCGAAACGTTTTAAAACATGTCATAAATAGCTTTAAAATCACTATTAGATATCAATCAATATTAATTTAAAAAATTGCCACAACTTCACTATACTTGATCCAAACTGTACTTAACTTTTAAAGATTAATTTATATTAAATAACAAAACACTATAAT